ACTTGCTACTTCACCCATATTCTTGTTAAAAAGTTAAGCAGATTTGCTGTTTTATGTGCCTTACAGATTACCTTCAACACAGCTGAGAAATAAAAGCATTTAAAGTTTGTTTTCAAACTTACAAAATATATTTGGTGAGCATTTACCTAGATACTTTACTGAATAAACGTTTTACTTCATTCCCTTGGACCAGATTCAGGACAACATATAACATTTATATGAAATTGTCACACTCTTGGAGTTCTAAAATATTTATTTTTAAAAGTTTTAGCCTCATGCTAGTTGAAAAATAAAAATCTATAGCACCATCTTCTGAAAAGGCACTTTCTAAGAACCGCCTTGCTTTAAAAAAAAAAATGATTAAAAAATTTAATACAGTGTTCACCCCAAAGAATACCTTTGTTTTACCCTAGATACAACATTAAATTTTGGATACTTCAGACATTGATTACAGAAAGGAAGAAAGACCAGTGGCTGGGTATATGATTAGATAGGATTTTAATTTTGTCACACTGTTTGTTATCTGATATTTCAACAGGTTTCTCATTGGTAAATCTCAATCATCCATATTATATTTATTATCTATCTTTAATTCAATTAGAACCTTTAACTTACATACCTTAAGAGCAAAAGATTCTTGAGGCTTAATCAACAATGTAAAAATCTAGAGTACTATCTTTGATGGGTAAATAAAAATAAAATTCAACTAGTAGTAGATATTAGTACAAGCCTTGACAATAATATCTTAGTTAAAAAGAAATTATTTTAACTGACATGGGAACTTGTAAACTGAAATGTACCGTTTTTAAAAGTAGGAAAATGTAAAAATATTTTTCCTTTGTGGTATTTATAGATATATGACAAAGAGGAGGAGGAGGGGAGATGTTATTCTTCCTGGGAGTCAGCTTAGGTTTCACTAATCACAGTATAATTTCTAACAGTGCCACTGATCAAGAATTTTCTTAGTATAAGCAACAAGATTTTTTTGGAGAAAATTCTGACTTTCACATTTTGTAGTATTGATTTTACCAATTTTTCTTGGCTTATCTGTTGACTCCTATAGAATCACAAAAGTGCTTTATATGATTAAATGGGAGGGAAACAGGAAAATAGACAGAGTCTAGAGTCAAGGTTAGACTGCCACTTAGGAAGGCCTCACTTGATATAGTCTCCCAGCTATTATGATTGTAGCTTTAAAACAACCATGAATTCTCAAAAAGAATGAAAAGGATTAAAACTTCATAGGGATAAAAAGCCAAAATAAAGATGCTGGGCCAATGAATCCTGACTGATAACTCATAAAAGGTAATTTAAGTAGCAAGTTACTGTTCAGGCAAACTGTCTTTAAAAAGTTTTCAATAGGGAAACATCTAAGATGATGAGTTAAGCAAATATTTAACTCCGGTTTTATGATACTGAATAAAAATTATGCAGAGCTGTGTTAAACTTCTTGGCAAAACATTACTATCAAGTTTGACATAGCAAGACTACAAAATATTCTAGCTAAATCCAAGTGGCTGGCTTCATTGCTTTCATAAAAATCATCACCCCTGGTAAATTCATGTCAGCATGTGAAATTCACCACATTCCTTGAATGACAGTCTCTAATTCCTAGTTTATAATCCATCTAATTACTTCAGATCTATTACTGCCACTCTGAGTGTTCACCTTTTCTTTAAACACCCAGATCCTCTGTCAGTCACTTCTACTTAATGACAACCCGGCTTTTATTTCCTTAGACATACCTTAGGTCTGTCATGATGTCTAGCATACTAAAATCCATTTTAGGATAAATATAAAAGTAAACATTAGGCAGTGGTGGGTCATCAGAGAACCTAGTTTGGAAAACTAGTATAGGACTTTACTAGTAGAAGGTCAGGAGTCCCTAAGCTAGAAGGAAGAGATGAATCTTTATCATGTGCCTTCCAGAACACCCAGTACATTCCTACTAGAATCCCTTCTAGACGCTCTTAAATAAATTAATAGGTTACAAATAGGAAGCTTTCCATAGAAGAAAAATTTTTTTTCTGAGAAACCTTTTGTTAAAAGGTAAAGTATTAAGAAAAAAATAAAGGGCATCTTTATTTCTGTGAAAATATGCCAAAACCAGTACTGAGGAGGTTGAGGTACCCTTTTTCCAAAATGCTAAAGTAAAAATCCATGTTTCGGCTAGAGGGGATCAATGGGGAAAAAAGGAGACATCTGTAATACTTTCAACAAATAAAGATAAATTAAAAAAGTAGTGTCCTGATATTAAATTGAAACTAAAATGGCAGCACCCTTTGTTATCATGATATTTCATGTTCTTAATCTTATTTAGAAAAAAAAAAAAGAGAGTGGGGAGGGGGTCTAACACTAGCCTTGAAACTTGCTCATCTCCTTATTGTTTAGTGCAGTAACTGTCAGACTCTACTTAAATAAATATAGCAGCTACAGTATTATAAATGTATGGTCCTCAATGCCAGTAACTTGCTACTGTAATATAATAACATGTAACAGCAATTTACACAGACTCATTTGCTATCCAGAGTATAATTAAACTCCCAACTTTTCTTCACATGAAAATCAATTATACCAGTTGCTGGCACTGACATTTTGAAGTCACTCCTACATCACAGAAAACAGCATTCATCATATAGTTAGTGAGCAAGGGCAGGAACAGAAAGGTCACTGTTCAGTTTCATGGCCATTAAATTCGAACAACCTTCTTCAAAAAATGAAAAAGATCAGGAATTCTACACCAGAAATGCAATAATTAAAACAAAAATCAAAAAGTTATTTGTCTCTTAGTCTTCTATCTTAAAACTCTTAAGTACAAGATTTCTTGTAATTAAGTTTGACATACTAATTTGTTAGTAAGCATAGTAAGCAAAGTAAAAATATACTATACATACTTTTTCAAGTTAACCAACCTTAAACTATTAATGTTGAAACTGTAAGAAACCCTAAAAAAGAACTCACTTCAAAGGTAAAGGTTTATATTTAAAAAATTTTTTCCCCTTTGTAAAAGTCCTTCCAAATAGATTTAAATTATGGGCTTCACTCTAGCGCAAGTGAAATTAAGTAACTGAAAATTAGGTAAAGCAGGAAATAGGAATAGAACACAGTTCTTCCCTGGGCCCTAAAGTTTCCCACATGAATCTGTGTAACTCCCATTGATAAATGAAGATGTTTTCTCATACCGAGCAAGCACACAACAATCAAGTTTTTACCATCTAGAAAACACTATTTTCTTCTCTTGCCCATGTTCTTGACTACTATATTTAGTAAAATTTCAATGTAAAAACCCCCAAACACCTTGCTTTATAGGAATTTTTTGGAGGAGAGCAGGGAGGGTTGGGAGAAAAAATGTATATACTATACAAATATTACCTCGTGTAAAGAGCTTTGAAACAGTGTTGTAAATTGCATTTCAGACACTTCAATATAATAAACATACAAAATACAGTACTTTCTTAGTTTTCTGGTAGAGGGACAGAAGATTTCATAGCTATTGGAGGACATGGGCTCAGATTTTAGGCTCAAAATACAGTAAATTGGCAATTAAAAGTAGATTACAGGTAAGGGAGAAACTATAGAGCTAATCCATTCGTTTTCATAAACAGATGGAATTTTGAAAGGTTAACAACAATGCCCATTGAAAACAATCTGTAATATTTATACTCTAAACCAGTGCAAAAAAAATTAAAATGCAGATTTCATGTGTTACAAAGTGCAAAGCTCCCCTGAAACCAATGTTACTGGTGAACTTGGTTTTGACAGCTTAATGGTACTTTTTAATATCTTAAAGTGAAATCAATAAAACAAAAGTTTTGCAAAACTTTCCCCCACATTTCAGTGATTTAACTCATTTAAAATAATCCAAGCCCTAACTTCCTTTGTTACCATAACCCTAATTTTTAAAGGAAAGTTACACGTGATAAAATAGCAAAATTTTAAAAAAAGTATCACATTTTCCTGATTCATTTTAATAAATGAAAATGGGCACCTAAGCAGTATGATTCTTCAATAAACATGATTTATCTCCAAAGAATTTAAATACCTTCTAAATCCTAATCTATTCATGACCATTTCTTAATTAAAGTTCAATTTTATTTTTAATATTTAAGGTCAGATTCATTTAGGATATTAATTTCCTTCATTTTCATTATGATTTTTAAAGACATGCTTTAGACTCGAAAATTACAAAACTTTCCTTCTGAAATTAAGGCTGTATTACTTTGCTCTTTTAAAATCATGTATGTGCCTGCTTCTCCCACTATCTGTGGTAAAGATGTCAAACAGCTTTCCTTTAAAACTGCTTATTGCACTAAAAGATAGCAAAAACAAATTGTCAGTTCTTAAAATAAACATGATTATATTTCTATAAAAGATGTTGCCAATACAGTTCTATAATTATTAAAGCACTATTCTAATAAATATAAAAGAAAAGGAAGCTATGCTTCAAAATACATACATATATGTTTATATATATATATACACACACACATATATATATAAAAATATATATATGGAAATCACATTAATGTATGAGAGGCAGCAAGTAAAATAGCAAAAAAAATATTTTTTAAAAAACCTCAACCCCTTCTTTTTCTCCATCCAATTTCACAGGCCTCACCCTACAGAGTTTCAATCATTTAAAATATTTACTCTTTGTAAAAGCTTCAAAAATTTCCATGTATAACCCATAGAAACAGAAGGAGAATACTTATCACTCATAGAAAGAGTTATAACTTCTGACAGGGTTTTATATTTATAGCAGCTTTAACAAACTCACTAGAGAAGAAAGAACAGTTTAGGTTGCTACTGCTTATGTATACATTGCACAAATGGCAAATATAAGTTCAGAGCAGGAGGGGACAGACACAGACTCTCATACACACACACACACACACACACAATAATTTTGCTTCTTAAGAAAGCAATATCAAGAGTTGAGGACTCAGAATTGTGTATGAATCAAGAGACAGGAGTAGGTGTGCAAAATAAAAATAAAAGTCTAGTTTGCCATGCTTCATATTCAAATGAACCAGATACATGAACATTTGAGTATCACTGGTAGCATTAAGGAAAAAAAATGTAGATGATGAGGCAAGGGAGGTGGAGCAAGAAATAAAAGTGGTGGTGAGAGGATAATAAAAGGGAAAGAAATTTCCCAATGGAATGAACTATAAAATATATACAAAGAACATATATATCTATTATCAATGCAGATCCAGATATATATGCATATGAAGTATACATGTATACACTTAAAGTATACACAGATACTTTACAAGAATACACATTAATTTTGTTGCACACAGAATTGTGAACAATCACTGATTATTCATGTAGGTGTGTTTTTTTAAAACCATTATTCACCTTTTCTTTCTTTCTTTTCCTTTTTTTTTTTTTTTTGCAAAGATAGTTGTGCTGCCAAGCAACTTGAGGTAAAGGCATTAAAAGGGTTACACTACAAGAAAGTGAAAACAAAACAATGGCGATACTTCCTACAGGAGACCGCACAAAAAAGCAGTTGGCTGGTTTCATATTGCATAATGGTGCTGTGTCCCTTGATAAAGTAAACAATCTTCCTTGTATCAACATAAAAATCAGACCCTGGTCCCCACAGTGTTGGTTTCTGTATGGCTGGAGGCATCCCCACTCAATGGACTCCACTGGAAACATACGGTGTATGTCAATTCATCTTTCAATTGTTCATCTCAGAGAATATTCTCGGACTTTTTAAGCAAAGTACATTGTGCGTAAGGTATCTTGGTGAATCTGTACAGCCTTGGCAAGAGCTTGTGGATCTCGCCCATTGCTCTGTCCTGAAACGTGACTTCCTTCAGCACTGTAAGAGAATTGGCAATGAACACACAAACCAACCCTATCCTGATGTAATAATTCTGAACACTATTATTTGTTGTAGAAAATTTCACAAATATTTTTAGGAATAGAGGCTGGTATAATCTTACATGTCTATCACCCAGCTTCAATAATTAACTCATGGTCAATTTTACTTCTCTCACTTGCTCAGGATTATTTAGAAGCAAATCCAAGACATCCTATAATTTTGTTGGTATATATCACTTTTATCATCAACAATCTTTCCCTTGAGTTAATCTGATAAAGCAAGTAAGTCACTGTATCATTCTATTACTAATAAGCCTAGACTGCACATTTTAATGGGAACCCTTATCTCGGGCAGTCAGTTCTGACTATCACTGCTTTTCATATGACCACTGACTCCTCTAGTAGGTCATGGAACTTTAATTCTAAATGGCAGTTCTTTATGGCAAATAGAGAGCCACATACTTATATGGAACCACATATTTACATGGAAACAAAGAAATGTCCCAAGAAAATCCTAATATGTAGGCCATATGTGAATTTGGGTAAAAATCTGTATTTGTTACGCTTTTATATTACCTGTCATGTTCTTTGTCTACGAGATGATATCTGGCTCTGAATGCCACCAGGTGAGCATAATACGCTGGTGCAGGTATAGAAACAGATCGTGTACAGCGCACATAAGTGTGGCAGAGCTGGTAAGTTAGCAGCTGAAGTTCATCTGCAGTAAAGCAGTTATCATCCCATAAAACATGGTAGTGTGAAGGACGGCTGGTACCCTATGGAGAAGGCAATGACATATTCTGTTGATTTCTAAACTTTTAAATAAATATTTAGCATAGACGAAGTTATACAAAAAGTCAGCTTTCTACAACAGTAAAACATATTCTAATTTAATAATGGATTTAAAAAAACATTTAGTTGGTTCTGGGTGTACATCCAAAAAAAGTGAAAGCAGGGACTTGAACAGTTATTATACACCTATGTTCAAAAGCAGCATTAGCCTAAAGATGGAAGCAACCCAAGTGTCCATTAATAGATGAATGGATAAACAATATGTGGTATATACATTTAATGGAATATTATTATTCAGGCTTAAAAAGGAAGAAAAGTCTGACACATACTACAACATGGATGAACCTTGATGACATTATGCTAAATGAAATACACGAGTTACAAAAAGACAAATATTATATGATTCACTGATATAAGGTACCTGGAGTAGTCAAATTCATGGAGATAGAAAGAAGAATGGTGAGGCTGGAGAAAGGGGGAATGAGGAGTTAGTGTTTAATAGGGACACACTGTCAGGAAAGATGAAAAAATTCTTCAGATAGATGGTGATAGAGCTGCATAACAATGTGAATGTAATTAATGCACTGGAATTGTATACTTAAATATGATTAAAATGATAATTGTATGTTATGTATATTTTACCACAGTAAAAACACCAGAACATTTACTTGAGCTTTTATGTATTAGTTACTATGTTAGGTAATACGGACTCAAAGAAAAACAAAGTAAAACATTTCCTGTCTTTTGGAAAACATAATTTGTAAAGGACTAGAGGAGACAGAGCATCGACAATTATAAAACAAGTAATAAGTGGCTATAAGACGTGGCACTCAATCCTGTATGAGAATACCAAGGCAAGTGATTGTGGAAGTAAGCCTGGTTCTTCACCAAGTGGGGAATGAGTGGGATTTGGCCTTTATGTTGAGGTTAGTGAGGAGACACTAGAATGCACGGGGGGCATAATAATTCCTGGTGTATTTGGGGAATGGCTACCAGACCAGTATGAACAGAGTCTGGCACAGGAAGGGAAAAAGATGAAGATGAAAAGAACATTTGGAATCAGACTGAATGACATGCTTAAGAATTGCAGCGAAAGCATTATTTTTATTTATTTTTACAGTTTTTAGGTGTGATGAGATTGGGGTTTTCTAAAAGTAACATCAACAATAATATGGAGGATGGATTAGAAACAGGAAGAGACTGAAAGCAAAAAGAGCAGTTAGGAGGCTGTTGCAATAATTCTGGTGTGAGATAACGAAGGTATGAACTAAGGAAAGGGCAGTGGCAAAGGTGTAAAGGAGAAAGATTAGCTCATACTTTAACAAATATTTGTTTGTTAGACACTGTGCAAGATTTTGGGGATAAAACTCAAATTATTATCAAATATACCCCCCAAATTACAGGTTTATAATGCCTATATAATGTATTATACATTCACACACATTCAATATTAGGTAATCGCTCACTATATGCCATGTCCTGTATAAAGTGCCAGGCACACAGTAATGAATAAGACACATTCCAGAGATGAGGCAGGTAATGTATAAATAAAATCATCAGAAATTGGGCTATAAGGAGAATTAAAGTTTTTGGTTAAGTACATTGGGGAAATATTCCTGTCTTGAAGATTCATTTGCATTATCAGTAATATCCAAAAGTTCTAAAGTAAAAAAATCTTATTTATTTCCAAAATTTACTGAACAGAAAAATCCTTTTTTCTCCTCTGTGGTATTTACAGCAGTAGTGTTTCTTGGTATACATGGTAAATATGTACTCTAATAATATAGATTTTTATCTCTAGAAGGTCCTTTTAACTTTATTTTTAACTACCCTCCATGAAAATGTACAATCGATTGTAAAGAGGAGCAGGTATAAGAACATAGATAAATGAGTGGGACAAGAATTTTAAAGCTGTAAGAATGAAACTGGGGTTAGTGTATGTGAGATGTATATATATATAAATCTTTAAGATACAGCTATACAGTAAGGTACATCTTCTTGAAATTTCTACTTTAATCAATTGCCAGCAGCCTAAAACAGTTTTGGGCTACATTCTCTCCGACATCTAGGAATACAGATGCACTCTCCGCTGCTGGGATGTTTAGGAAGCACTGAATTAAACAGACATAAGTCCCTCTTAAAGCAAGAAAGGGGAAGACATTTACCTACTGAAAATTTCATCTAATTTCATGTGGAAACAATTTGGAGTGCATAAAAGGTTACTTTCCCTTTTCCTGACATTAAAAAAATATATACATATTAATGGGAGTTCCTGAATTAAAACATTTCATCCAAAGTGTAGGCTTACCTGTATTCCAGCATGACTACAGAGGTAAAAATCAAACTCATATGGGTGTGTAATGTCTGTATCAACTGTTGTTCCAGCTGGGATATTGCCACTTCTTCCAACCTGGATTTGTGTGGTCAAAGTTTAAACAAAAAAGACAAATGTAAACAATGTGTCTGAAGGCACTTTTAAAAATGTATAAATATATAGGGTGATCCCACAATTCACTACTTTCAACTTGATATATTACGTAAGTAGGCATTAAGAGCAGACCTTATTCTAGTCCTGGTTCCTATTCTTAAATGTTGCTGAGAGTGAGAGATAATAAACAACAAAGAGTTATTAGTCTCTACTATATGCTTAGCTGGTGGTAGTGGATCCCAGTATGGGTGGAAGACCTAAAAATTTTTTTTTTCAAGTTACGTTAAGTGCTCTAATTTATGATACCTGTGCATAGCCGGTACTCTCTAATGTGTAATTTATGAAAATTAGCTCTTTCCTTGTTGAACACTGTATTTTTAGAGAGAAAGAATGCTGAAAACAACATCAACAATAATCACCATTTGTTAACCATTTTTATGTTGGGTACTTTACATACATTATTTCTAAGCCTGGTAATTCTGCCAGTTAGGCACTATTCCCCTTTGTTTGGGGAAACTAAGGCTCGGGACTATAAAATAATTTGCTCACTAGCATACATTAAAGGGCAGAATTGGGAGTCAAACACAGAAACGAGTGCAAAGGCCCTACTCCTTTTATTTTATACTAGCAGTTTCAGTATTTTATAAGGAAACATGATTCTCCCTAAGTAGATATGTGAATGAAATGGTTCAAAATAATGAAAGGCTCCTATTAAAACACTTTCAAATACATATATATACTCACCTCTACCTCCTTATACCTAACACATTTGAAATCATGAACTAACATTATTTCTGCCATGTGAGGTAGTGGCTTGAGTCACAGCCATGTAGACCAACCAGTTAGCCTCTACCAAGCACAAAACAAAGAAAACAGTTCATAATCTACTAAATTATGCTGATTCATTACACATAAATTTAATTAATACATGTAAAAAGTTTTACTCTATTTATTTAATACATTTTATTGATTTCTTTACAGAGAGGAAGGGAGAGGGATAGAGAGTTAGAAACATCGATGAGAGAGAAGCATCAATCAGCTGCCTCCTGCACACCGCCTACTGGGGATGTGCCCGCAACCCAGGCACGTGCCCTTGACTGGAATCGAACCTGGGCCCCTTCAGTCCACAGGCCAACGCTCTATCCACTGAGCCAAACCAGTTAGGGCAAGTTTTACTCTATTTAGAGAGGTAGCAGAATGCTTGTGTTCACATCACTGCTCTACCAGTTTCTAGTTGTGCGATCATGGTATTTTACTTAACTGTGCCTCTGTTTCCTCATTTATAACTAGAGGCCCAGTACACGAAATTCGTGCATGGGTAGGGTCCCTAGGCCTGGCCGGTGATCAGGACCGATTAGGTTCCCTGCCTCCCTACGTCTTTCTTCCCTCGCCACCCACTTGCCGCAGCATCATTTCCCCTGCCTCCTCCTCTCCTCGCTCCCTCAGTGCCCAGCCACCACTGGTCACCCATCATGTTCCACGCTGCCCCCTGGTGGTCAGTGCACATCAGAGCGAGCAATCGAATTCCTGGTCTTCCGGTCAAACTCCCGAGGGGACACTTAGCATATTAGCCTTTTATATATATAGATGATCTCTAATCTACAAGGTGTCCCCAAAAATGTATACATGCTTTAACAGCTGATTGCTAGTAAATAAACATAAAATGTATCCAAATAAACACTGCCTTTATAATTATTCAAAGTGTGTACTAATATGTATATATATTTTTGGGATACCCTACATTATCAGTAGTATTTAGAGCAAAACTAAAAGAGAAGCAAACAAATGGAGGACTGGCATAAACTAAACATCAGGTGCCAGTAATCATATATTTCTTTATTGATTTCAGAGAAGAAGGGAGAAGGAGAGAGAGATAGAAACATTCAGAGAAGAAGGGAGAAGGAGAGAGAGATAGAAACATCAATGATGAGAGAGAATCATTGATCGGCTGCCTCCTGCACACCCCCTACTGGGAATCGAGCCCGAAACCCAGGCATGTGCCCTTGGCCGGGATCGAACCTGGGACCCTTCAGTCCCCAGGCTGACGCTCTACCCACTAAGCCAAGCCGGCTAGGGCCCTATTCCTACTTTTAAAGAAACATTTGATTTTCTAGGTGCAGAAATATACCTAGTAATTTGGGGTCAAAGGCCTTTAACAATCTGGCCATAATAAAACTATCACTACTGCTATTAAAGAGGTGGTATTTCACTGTGAGAAGGGGTATACCACTCTGGAGACAGAATGCCTGATTTGAATCCTAGCTCTACTAATTACCAGCTTTATATCCATGGGAGGTTATTTAACTGCCATGTGACAGTTTCCTCCTGTAGAAAATGGGGATAATAGTAAGTATCTCATAGCGTTGTTTACGAAGATCAAATGAGTCCAATTTATAAAAAATACCTCAAACAATACCAACTATTATTCTTTTTCTCTATTATTAGCAGCATCACCACCACACATGATAACTAGCTAACCTTTATTGAGTGCTAAGTATGTGCCAAGCACCATTCTTAATGCATTACATATTTTAAGTTATTTAGTCCTCTCAACAATCCAAATAAGGTAAATATTAATATGACCCAAACCTTGTTGAGAAAGATACAGGCACAGCAGTGTTAAGCTACTTGCCCAAACTTACATAGTGAGAGTAACCAAAGACCAAATATACACCAAAGATAAGACACACTCCTCTCTCTCTCTCTCAGTCTTTTCTACTGAACCCTTTCCCAAGGGGACACAGACACTAGTAATCTTAGATTTCTCTGTTATAAGGTTAGCAGGATGGGGGGCAGAGCACTGGAAATGACAGTAAGACTGCTACTTGCCTATGTTACACACAGACCAGAAGACCTATTTCCCCCCAGGTATTTATACCACCTTCCCCTTCCTAATTATAAAAATACATCTACACAATGGAATTCTATGCTGCTGTAAAAAAGAAGGAATTCTTACCATTTGCAACAGCATGGATGGAACTAGAGAGAATTATGCTAAGTGAAGTAAGCCAGTCAGAGAAAGATAAATATCACATGATCTCACCCATTTGTGGAATATGATGAACAACATAAACTGATGAACAAAAATAGAACCAGAGACATAGAAGCATCGAACAGACTGTACAACGTATAAGGGAAGGCCGGGGATGAGGGGGTAAGAGATCAACCAAAGGACTTGTATGCATGCATATGAGCAAAACCAATGGACACAGACAATGGGGGTGGGGGTGTGAGGGCTTGTGCTTGGGGGAGGAGGTGGCAGGGGAGAGGTCAATGAGGGGAAAAAGGAGACTCATGTAATGCTTTAAACAATAAAGAATTAAAAAAAAGAGAAAGAAATCACTTTACCATTCCTATCTAGCTATTCTGAAAAATCAGGAATGAGTATGAGTATTTAATCATTGAATATGATCAAATTCTTCTACAATGCCTATGAAATAATAGTGCTTTTTAATACTTTAATTTTGCTGTGATACATTTTACTCATTTTCAGAAATAAAGGTAATTTGATCATCAAAAAAATAGTCACATTATAAAATACAGAAGGGAGACAACCAAGATGGCGGCATAGGTTAACACCTGAACTTGCTGCCACGCACAACCACATTAAAACTACAACTAAAAGACAAAACGACTATCATCCAGAACCACAGGAAGGCTGGCTGAGTGGAAATTCTACAACTAGAAGGAAAGAGAAAAGCGCATTAAGTCCGGTAGGAGGTGCAGAGGTGTGGAAATGTGGAGGTACGGAGGCACACACGAAAGGGGCTGGCAGCTGGGTACGCTGTTGTCTTTCTCAATCGGGAGGGAGATAAAAGCTCCAGACTGCTCTGAACTCCAGTTCTGGATGAGAATCTGGGGACCCAGACTCATATGGAGAGAAACTGGACTGTCTGGCATCAGGCCGGAATGTGAGGGCGGCTTTCTCGCCGAGGTGCTTGCAGTGGTCATTGTCCCTGCACGGGGCTGCGGGACAGAGACCCTGGGACCTCTCTGAGGCAGAGCAGATTGGCAGCCATTGCTATTTGCTCTGCCCTGGTGATTCCCTGAGACCCCGCCCCACCCAATTTACAACCCCGCCCAAGCTATGCACAGAGGCTTTTGCCTATGAATGGCCTGGCCTTTCTCCACCTAAAAACCTGTCAAACTGCAGCTGGGTCAGAAAACCCCAGAGCTTCCAAAAGAAGGCCTAAGGCTCATAGGCAGCCTGCATTGCTTCACAGCTGTGCCTCATTTGGGCACCTCCAAACCCCAAACAAAGAGGAGGAATCTGCAGATCTCTCTGTAGTTCCTGCTGGGTGGCCTCAGGCAGTGGGTGACTTTGCACCTCCTTAGAGATCCAAGAGCCAGTGTACCCAGTGGTCAGAGTGAGACCATCATATTACAACTCTTCACATCCATAAGAGACACACTCAGGGGGCAGACTCAGTGAGCACCAAAGCCCCATTGAAGCAAGTCCTGCCCCATAAGGGTGTCTCCAGCACAGAAATTCTCCCATTGTAGACACAACTGGTCCTCACAGCCAATTGGCCTGGAGGTCAATTCCTCCCAGTGATATCAACAGCAATCAAGGCTTAACTACAACAAGACTGTGCACACAGCCCACAAAGGGGTGCACCAAGAGTGTCCACCTCAGGTAATTAGGGAGGCTGAGCAACTGGGCCCTATAGGACACCTAGCACAGAAAGCCACTCTATCAACACAGGGAGGCAGCCAAAATGTGAAGGCAAAGAAACAAGTCACAAATGAAAGAAATGGAGAAAAGCAAACTACTGGATATAGAGTTCCAAACCACGGTTATAAGGTTACTCAAGAATCTTCTAGAAACCGCCGAGAAATATAGTGAGACCCTCAAGGATATGAAAAAGGACCAATTAGAAATTAAGCATACACTGACTGAAATAAAGAATAATATACAGAGATCCAACAGCAGACTAGAGGATCCCAAGAATCAAGTCAAAGATCTGAGATACGAAGAAGCAAAAAACACCCAACTGGAAAAGCAAAAGGAAAAAAGAATACAAAAATATGAAGATAGTGCAAGGAGCCTCTGGGACAACTTCAAGCGTACCAACATCTGAATTATAGGGGTGCCAGAAGAAGAGAGAGAGCAAGATTTTGAAAACCTATTTGAAGAAATAATGACAGAAAACTTCCCCTACCTGGTGAAAGAAATAGACTTACAAATCCAGGAAGCGCAGAGAAGCCCAAACAAAAGGAATCCAAAAGGACTACACCAAGACACATCATAATTAAAATGCCAAGGGCCAAAAGACAAAGAGAGAATCTTAAAAGCAGCAAGAGAAAAACAGTTAGTTACCTACAAGGGAGTACCCATACGACTGTCAGCTGATTTCTCAACAGAAACTATGCAGGCCAGAAGGGAGTGGCAAGAAATATTCGAAGTGATGAACAGCAAGAACCTATAACCAAGATTAGTCTACCCAGCAAAGCTATCATTTAGAATTGAAGATCAGATAAAGAGCTTCACAGATAAGAAAAAGCTAATGGAGTTCATCACTGCCAAACCGGTATTATATGAAATGCTGAAGGGTATTCTTTAAGAAGAGGAAGAAGAAGAAAAAGGTAAAGATAAAAATTATGAACAACAAAGTGACAACAGATACGTATCTATCAACAAGTGAATCTAAAAATCAAGTGAAGCCCTGACTGGTTTGGCTCAGTGGATAGAGCGTCGGCCTGCGGACTTAAGGGTCCCGGGTTCGATTCCAGTCAAGGGCATGTACCTTGGTTGCGGGCACATCCCCAGTACGGGGTGTGCAGGAGGCAGCTGGTCAATGCTTCAATCTCATCGATGTTTCTAACTCTCTTTCCCTCTCCCTTCCTCTCTGTAAAAAATCAATAAAATATATAAAAAAATAAAAAATAAAATAAAAATCAAGTGAATAAAAAATTTGATGAACAGAATAAACTGTTGAATAGAATAGAATCAGGGGCATAGAAAGGGAGTGGACTGACAATTCTCAGGGGCAAGGGGTGTGGAGGGTGCGGGAAGAGACTGGACAAAAATCATATACCTATGGACGAGGACAGTGGGGAAGGGGGTGGTGGCCTGGGAACCCGGTGGAGGGGAGCCATGGGGGGGAAAAGAGGAACTGTAATAATCTGTACAATAAAGATAAAAAATAAATAAATTCTATTTCACCTTAAAAAAAATACAGAAAATAATTCAGTGAATTTTAAAGGAGGCATTGTTTAAAAGTTAGTTTGCAAGAATTTCCACTAATCACTCTAGACCAGCCGTGGGCAAACTACGGCCCGTTTGAAATGAATAAAACTAAAAAAAAAAAAAAAAAAGACCGTACCCTTTTATGTAATGATGTTTACTTTGAATTTATATTAGTTCACACAAACACTCCATCCATGCTTTTGTTCCGGCCCTCCGGTCCAGTTTAAGAACCCATTGTGGCCCTCGAGTCAAAAAGTTTGCCCACCCCTGCTCTAGACAATCCCTCGATTTTAAAAAAGTTAATTTTTACAAGATATTTTAAAAGAGAATGTACCTTTTTTCTTTTGAACATTTAAGGGACATACAAATAGGAAGGAAAAAATTTAAAATGATGAGTTTCTTCACAACAAAAAAAAGTATTAATGGGATTTTGAACATTTGGAATGTTACTAGAATTTCTAAAGTTAAAAATTTTAAATAATTAACCTAATTTTGATGCTTCTATACTCATAATCTGCTTTGCTGAAATCTACTACTATGTATTAGAAACTTTGCTGTTGGCAAAGAGTCTTTGTTAAGTGCTCTACAAACTACGTTAGATAAGCCTGGCTTATGTTAGTATTACAAAAGATGTGATTACCCTTTCTGTCCGATCAGCACAAAATAATCGAGTGTGATGTCTCTTCTGAACTACAATGTAGGTTATTCCAGGTTGATAGTCTTTCTCCAAACTGATGCAGGCTTCTCGAATTGCTAGTAGTTCATAATATAATACCTAGAGAAGATGAAATGGAAAGACTTGACATAGCCATTCTCTTACACAGACTTCAAAGTAAGATAATTATTTAGTCTCAGTATTTCTTAATGTCATCACTTACAGCTAAATATACCTCTCTATTTCATCTTAATTATTATCAGAGCATGGTCTTAATAATCAAGGCTTATACATCCATAGTAAACATTTTAAAAGGAAGCATCAAATTTTGATTTTGGGAACTCTCAACTTAATTAAGGTTTCTAACTTCAGAACTAGACACCATATTATATACACAGTATTTGATTTAACCATAGTATGATGAGATCCCAGGCAACCAACCTGCCTAAACTGTCCCTCTGAAACACCATCCCGATAGAAGATGATACGAGTAGGTTTGAATCGAGTTGACTTATAAAATTGAATGAGAAGTTCTCGGACCATGGAGGCCAAGTCCTGGATGATCTCCTGTCGGGGTCTCTGAACTCGTACTGTAGCACAGTATCTGCTTGGGTGGGCATCCATACTACCTACAACCTAAGTTGGAAAAGTAAAGAAAAATAGAAAATTAAGATAATCAAGACTACATGATTATGAATTTACTGCAATTAAAAAATTGAAAGAAAGTACATGGATTTCATTTAAATTTGTATTTTACTATAACCTTACTATTTACCATTGTTCATTTGGAGGGTAATAAAAAACAGATAATTCCCAGTGAAGAACAGAATAAAAGACCCAGTATAGGGTCAAAAATTATTTTCCTATAAGAAAGACTGCACTTTACATTTAACAATTAGATTCTAATTTTGAGATGTCGCTGGTACCTAATGATTAGTAAGGGGAAAAAAGAGACAAAAAGACGTACATAAAGAGAATAAGAGAAAGAAGATAAGTAAAAAAGAGGACCCATGAAAACCCTTGATTTCTCTTTATATCTTTTACACTTTAGCAAACCACCCCAGAAGCCATACTGAAGACTCTGGCATCATCTTAGGACTGCTATGCTTTATAAATTTTAAAAGAATTTTACTTCTATTACTGCAATGTCCTAGACCAGAAGGCTTGAATCCATGGTCAAGTATTCCTGCGTTGTATTTGTGTTTTTTGTCTGGTCCTAAGAGAAGCTAATCTTGGTTTTGAGAGTAGCTATCTGAATTTTCTATGTTGTGTCTTGTTTAATACTGTTATGTGTTTGGAGCAGAGGGAACTTTGAAGCATGAACTTGTAAGTTCACCATGACTATAGTCACTTACAGACCTACTGAAGCATGATCTCTGGAACCTGAATATTTTAAAAATGTTTAAACATCATTCTAGGCTGTGAACCAGCTTATGGTAACTGTGCCTCCAGCTTCTCTCTCTTCCAGGGTAGTAGTTATACCAAAGTCATGTTTCAAAAATGGAACCCTGCAGTGCACTCAATGTTCAATGCAGCATTATTTACAGTAGCCAAGACATGGAAACAACATGTCCATCAATGGATGAATGTTACTATCATTTTCAAAGATAAGTAAGGTTTATTGGATTGTTAAAACTTCAAATTTATGTAAAGATTATACTAGATAATAAAAAATATAAAAAATCTTACAGCTTAATTTCTAAAATTCATTAAGTATGCCTAAAATATGTTCACATTTTCAAAAAAAAAATTTTTTTTTAACGTTCTAATGTAAGAATTTGCATTCACTCAAAATGTTGGTAGTTGTTAAAATCAAGTAATGTGCCCTAACTGGTTTGGCTCAGTGGATAGAGTGTCGGCCGGCGGACTGAAGGGTCCCAGCTTCAATTCCAGTCAAGGGCATGTACCTTGGTTGCGGGCACATCCCCGTAGGGGGTGTGCAGGAGGCAGCTGATCGATGTTTCTCTCTCATTCATGTTTCTAACTCTCTATCCCTCTCCCTTCCTCTCTGTAAAAAATCAATAAAAAATATATTTAAAAAAAATCAAGTAATGTTCAAGTTGGGTAAAATATCATATGGCTTTCACTAGTTTAAGAAATACTCTTAAAAGAATGGACACGGAAAAATTATAAGTATAGAAGTGGGCAAACCTATAGTAGGCAGATGTTAAAAGTAGGACTAAAACAAAGAATTTAGGTCAAAGTATTAATCTGGACAAAGGTGGGAGATACTTATATTGAAAAAAGTGCAACCCACCAATCTTATATGTAATGCATCTTTCTGTATCAAAGACAGTACTGAAATATGTAAGCAAACCTTTTGAATTACAAAGTAACTGAAATATACAATCATGGAGAAGTCAAATAGACAAATTAAAGTAGGAAATAAAGATTTGAGCAATATCATTAATAAACTTGATTTAATAGCTATATTGGAACTTGTAGCCCTCAAACCAGAGCAAAATCATTCTTCTCAAAAAATCCAAAGAACCTATGAAAGTTGACTTTCTCTCTATCCTATATAATAAAAGAGTAATATGCAAATCAACTGAACGGTGGAATGACCAGTCGCTATGACACTCACTGACCACCAGGGGGCAGATGCTCAATGCAGGAGCTGCCCCCTGGTGGTCAGTGCGCTTCCACAGGGGGAACGCCACTCAGCCAAGCCGGCTCACAGCTGGCCAGTGCAGCGGTGGTAGCAGGAGCCTCTCCCACCTCCATGGCAGCGCTAAGGATGTCCGACTGACAGCTTAGGCCTGCTCCCCAAGCCATCAGTTGGACATCCCCCAATAGCTCCTGGGCGCCAGAGGGATGTCTAACTGCCAGCTTAGGCCCGATCTCCCGGGGAGTGGGCCTAAATTGGCAGGTAGACATCCCTTGAGGGGTCCCGGACTGCGAGAGAGCACAGGCCGGGTTGAAGGACCCTCTTGAGTGCACGAATTTTCGTGCACCGGGCCTCTAGTATATTTATAAAAGTGGTTTCAAAGAAAATATCATTAAAATTAAAAAAGTTGAAATCAAATGATCCTTTAAACTTTAGATAAGATAAATCTGCTTAATGACACTCACAGCAGCAATAGAAGGCTTCTTTCCATCACCAGCTGGTGGATGAGTGACATCTGCTCCCAAAAAGATCACTGGTTGCTGGAACACAGAAGGTCTTAAACACATTTTTTAAAAGAGTTAGATAATTCATTTTTTTCATTATCCATTTATCTGTTTCACACTACTGTAACACAACTGCAAGTTGCTGACACAGCACAGAGAAGGTCCTATATAGACAGCTTCATAGGCCTGAAATACTGACAGCTTTATTCTCTTAGTTCATGAATCCCTGGCCAATGAAGTAAAAGCTGTCCCAGTGGGTCTATCCAATGTCTTATTCAGAGCAGTTTTTTGCCTTAAGTAGTGGTGATGGTGGTTGCAAAGGGAAACTGCTGCCAGCATTCTTCATAATAAGCATAAAATGCTAGACTTCCTCATATTAATCCACCATTTTGTATCAATCTTTCTTTAATGTACTTATATTTTAAGCTAAAGAGATTTCTCAAGGCAAAAAAAGATAATTAAACTATACACTGAGAGGGATTATGGGAGTTTACTACTCTTCCTCCCATGGCCAAAAATATAAATTTGAGTAACATATAATTAACAGTTATAAAGTAGTTAGTTCATTTTATCTCTGCAACTATATCCTTCAAGTGATTATTCCTTAGTTCTTGGGCTTGTTGATAACATTCTATATTCATCTCACTTATGAATCTCATCTCATATTTAATAGGAATAGGAAGTAGAGGCAGCATGGAAAAATAGGGAAAAAGAGCTTTATGTCAAACACACATCCTTATTATAATGCTTATCTGTGTGCATACTGGTCAAGATATTTAAAAAAGCCCAAGCCGCTTCAACTATTAAAAGACACCTGCTGTTCAATTCTCCAAATAACAGTCTCTTCCCCAGCACCTGTTTCTAGGTCATTAGTCTCATACTTCCTTAGAGCTTAGATATGATGGCGATCCCCAGTAACATCCATTGTCCCACTGACTGCAGCAGGGGTTGATATACTTTCTTAACTGATAAAATGAATTGACATCCTCCTTGCCCATCCCCCCACCATCCATTCTTCCCTCATTTCCTCAGTAAGTAGGCTTATGACATAAGTTGTAGATGACTAGCAAATAATAAGAAAATTCTGGGCTCTCCAGTAAGAAATAAAGCTCTCTATACTTTCTAGATAGGCAAGAAGTATTTTCCATACTAAATGAAAATGGAAGTGGGAGGGGATTTTTAAAAGGAAATTTCTTAATCTTGCTAATCCAAACTCTTTTAATTTTTTGCCAAAATGTCTCATCTCCCATGGCAGGATTCATCAAAGCTGTTTCTAAACAGATTTTAGATGTGACAATATATAGAAAAAATTAAGCTAAAAAACAATATTTTATCAAGCGATTGGCTTCACTTACCTTTGATGAGGTACAAGAATATTATTGATCCCTCCGAGTTTAACATTTATCTTTAGGCACAGATTTGAGAGAGTTTGGGGGGATGTTTTTATTACATTCTTGACTTGAACACACTGTGTAGCCATACCCAAAAGTGTATCTCCTACACGTTTCACCTCCGCTATGGAACAAATGCAGATACCTCTAGTTAGAAAAAAGGCTGAAAATCACTGTATTTCTCCCCTTTAAATACATTACTGTATTACAGGGCACCAAAAATTACACCAACACTAAAACAATGCTGTTAAAACTTAATGTATACAGACAGTCCTCGGGTTATGTCGGACTCGACGTACGTCGTTTTGTGGTTACGTCGCCATCTCCCATTTATTTATAAAAAAAAAAAAGTTCCGTTATTTTGACGTATGTACATATGTGCTTTATGTTTTTTATTATTTATTTACCACAAGGTCAGGAATTGTTATCTTTCTTTTAAATTTTTTTTTTACTGTTTCACTTCATTACTGCTGTGTATGTGCTCCATGTGAGTGACGTAGGTGCTTATGTAAGTGGTTCCGACGACTTATGGCGAAAATCGCGTTACGTTGCACCCTAGGAACAGATCTCCAATATAACCCGAGCACCTACTGTATTGCTTTGAAGATCAGCTTAAGCATTTACTGATAATTTTTTCGACTGTTTTCTTCTTTGTGTACTAGTAAAAAAGTTTATTTTTATAATCCTGAAAACACTATAACCACAATAACTGATAAACCATGCAGAGAAAAATATAATACATAATCCCTTGTTAGCATTTTACTGTATTCTCTTCAGTAATTTTCTCATTTATATGATTTTAATGCAGTTATAATCCTGATATATTTACAGCTTTCAATCCTATTCTCCAAGATTTAATTTAAAAAATACAGAGAGACTACAGTGTAAAGAATAAAAGGCCCCTGTTCATTTCCCTCTCTCTGCCATTATAACTACCACAAAGAGTTCAGTGTACTTAACTTCTTACACAAAACACATGGGAAGCATTCTAAAATAAAAATTGAGAACACACTATACATTCTATTTTGCAGCTTGTTATTTTCACTTAATAATACAGTATGTTCTGAATCTCAATATATAGGTTGCAGTTATCCTGTTTTTAAGTGCCATTAGGTATCTGACCAGTCACACATTAATATATTTTTAGCTTATTTAAGTTCTCATTATTTCAAATGATTCTGTGGATAGTATCCTTGTATATTTATTTTTGTTTGGATGTGTAACTATAGCCTCAGAATAAATTTCTACAAGTAGAATTGAGAGTTAAAGGTATATATATTTAACATTTTTAAACATGCTAACAAACTGCCCTCCTTAAATACTTATTCATTCATTCAACAAATATTTAATGTGCACCTAATCCATGCTAGTACTGTGCAAGGCTCTGGATATATACAATAGTGAGTTAATAGAGACACTGTTCCTGTCCTCACAAAGCTTATAGTGTAGTCAGAGAAACAGGCATTAATTACTTAATACCCATAGACCTGTACAAAACAAAGAATGAACCTTAACAAACTGTGGACAATATGTTAATAATAATTTATCAATATTGGTTCATTAAAAGTACCACACCAAGATAGTATTAATAATAGGGAAAACTATGTGCAGGGGAGGGGAGGTATATAGGAACTTTATATTATCTACTCAATTTGTCTCTAAATCTAAAACTGTTCTAGAAAATAAAATCTAGTTCTTTTCCTCCCTGGCTCCTTGAAGATCAGTCGCCATCATAAATGACACAGTAACTATTTGGACCAGGAAGTTCATGACCAACAAACTACTTCAGCGTAAACAAACGGTCACTGACATCCTTCACCCTGGGAAGGCAACAGCATCTAAGACAGATATTTGGGATAAACTAGTCAAAATGTATAAGACCATACCAAATGCCATCTTTGTGTTTGGATTCAGAGTCGATTTTAGAGGCGGCAAGGCAACTGGCTTTGGCGTGATTTACGATTCTATAGATTTGCAGGACATGGCCTATATGAGAAGAAGATGCTCTGCCTCATTAGTCATTAAAGAAATACGAGCCCTCGCCAATTTGGTTCAGTGGATAGAGCATCGGCCTGCAGACTGAAGGTCTGAGGTTCGATTCCAGTCAAGGGCATTTGTTTTTGTTTTATGTCTTGTGTCATTTTTTTAGTTTATTAAGTTTTTTTCTTACTGATTTTATAAATTCTTTTAGTTTAAACCCTTCTGTATTTTGTCACAACTTAAATATATTTTTAATTTCATAACCATCATTTTAAATCACTGTATAATATTTCATCAACATACTATAACTTACCCATTTAAAACCAATTCTTGTTTTTAAATGTCATTACAAAAGTTTTGTGCATGGAGATTTTTCTTTCTTTTGAACACATTTTAGAATTAGAAATACTGAATTGTAGACTAAAAACGCATTTTATATTTTTTTTATGAGAATGATGCTATCAATTTCTACATTCCCTGCATACTCACAAGTACTAGGTATTATAATATTTAAATACTAGAGGCCTGGTGCACGACATTTGTGCACTAGGGGGGGGGGGTGGGGGGGAGGGTGAAGAGTCTCACCGCCCGGACTGCGCCCTCTTGCAGTCCAGGACCCCTTAGGGGATTGCCCGCCTACCGGCTTAAGCCCGATCCCTCCTTACTGCCCACCTGCAGCAGAGGCGGGAGAGGCTTCGCCACCACCGCTGCGCTAGCCAGCAGTGAGCCCAGCTTCTGGCTGAGCGGCATTCCCCTGGTGGGAGCACACTGATCATCAGGGGGCAGCTCTTGCGTTGAGTGCCTGTCCCCTGGTGGTCAGTGCGTGTCATAGGTGACCAGTCGTTCTGCCGTTTGGTCGATTTGCATATTATGCTTTTATTATAGAGGATATTTGCTAATTTAGTAGCATACAATTTTTCTTTTTCTTTTTTTAACTTTTTACTTACTGATTTTAGTGGGAGGAGAAAAAAAATGTCAATTTGTTGTTCCACTTATTTATGCATTCATTGGTTGATTCTTGTATGTGCCCTGACCAGGGATCAAACCTGCAACCTTGGCATATCAGGACAATGTTCTAACCAGCTTAGCTACCAGGCCAGGGCTAAATTTTTAAATTTTTAAAATTAATTTGTACTTTACTGGTGAAAACTAACATTTTCTTATATATTTAGTTGTTTTGTTTTTTTCTTGAGAAATTTTGGTTTATATTCCTTGCACATTAATTTAAAAGAATATAATAACTTTTTCCTTTGTTGAACACAATAACATCTATATAAATATTTTAACTAATAATAAACTAGACTTTTATTGTCTCTATTTGCTGCAAATATTTTTCACTTTCTATTGGTTTCCTTTTAATTTTAGTTACACATTTGTGACATACAGGAATTTTAATTTTTATGTAGTCAAATCTAATAATTTTCCTTTGTGAATTCCATCATTTCTAAGCTTAACTGATTATACTCCATTCAGTAGTTTGAAAATTATACTTTGTGTTTTTCCATAATTCAATGATTTATATTTAATTTATTAATCTCACAAAAGTTTAATTGGTTTATAATAAAATAGCTAAACTTTACTGAGTTTTTACTATAAGTGTTTCTTCCAGGTCATTTACATATGAAAATTTATCTAATCCTTACAACTACCTTGTAGGGATTAGTTATTAGCATCACAATTTACAGATAAGAAAACTAAGGTTTAAGTAACTTACCCATATCACACAAAGGTACTATATCTGGCAGTACCTGGGTATTAAGCAGCACAGCCTAACTCCAGATCCATAGTTTGACTCCATGACCACTATATTATACTGATAATCAAGTGATCAATGGCATTTAAAATTTTTTTTTTTTAGAGAGAGAAAGGGAGAGGGAGATCAATAGCATTTTTAATGATTCTTCCTTTAACCATTGTTTTTATTTGTTGTTGTTGAATTGAACATATCCTCAAGATTTTATTGACATACTAGAGGCCTGGTGCACGAAATTCAGGTCCCTCAGCCTGGCCTGCACCCTCTCACAATCCGGGACTGCTGGCTCCTAACCGCTCACCTGCCTGCCTGCCCGATCGCCCCTAACCGCCTCAGCCTGCCTGCCCGATCGCCCCTAACCGCTCTCCCCTGCCGGCCTAATCGCCCCTAACTGCTCCTCTGCCAACCTCATCACCCCTAACCACCTCTGCCTCAGCCCCCATCACCGTGGCTTTGTCTGGAAGGAGGACCGGATGACAGGAAGATGTCCGGTCTATCTGGTCTAATTAGCATATTACCCTTTTATTAGTATAGATAATAAAACAAAATATGAAGTTTAGAACTGGATCACTTAACCCTTTCTCTTCTTATTTCCTCCCAGTTTAAAATGCTTCCATCTCTTGATAGCCAGCATTCTCTTAGATCTGCAGTTGGGCTCAACGCATTCAAGCCTCAGCACAATCTTCTTGTAGTTTTAGCCTTTTTTGCACAAAATTGGTTTAGTCTGCCCACCATAGCCACTGTGCTTCCCGTCATAATGCCGCTTTCCCTGCACATAACAGAGAATCCTTGCCCTTCTTGTACTATGTGGTAATCCTGTGGGGTTGATGCTTGCCACACTTCTTACAGAATGTCCAGTGGGTTTTAGGAATGTTGACCATGTTTGCGAGAGCGCTATCGGCAGGGAAAGCTTAACCACTGTTTTATAATGCCTACTTTAACTACCAAAATTCTTTTCACCAGGTCTCTTCATAGACAAATCTACTGATTTGACTTTTTAAAATAACAATACATGGTTTTAAACACTGTAAGCTATAACATTTTTGCAAGTTTTAGGATATGTTTTAGCATCATTCTAAAAGGAACATCATATACTTGAGGAAAAATGCAATCTTAAGGTATTCTTACCATATACTGGCGTCTTCCCTGGCAAGATGACAATAATGAGCTGTAGTCCAGAGTACGTGTTCTTGAGATGCCGGAACATGGGCTCCACGCTGTCTGCCCCCTGCGCATATTTGCAAAAGCAAGGCTGGCCCTGGATGGGCATTCCTGCATCTTTAGAAATCTTACGCAACTGGTCCGTAAAACCCCTAGAAGGAGCAATCACTAAATATAAAACATTTGTCTAATCATCAATACCTACAAAGTAGTAATAGAAAGTTTGGGAAGGGAATGGAGAATGAAGCAAAGATTAATGTGCTCCATAAATGAAGAGGTCACCACACTATTGATGTTTAGGACAATGTGGGTCAGTAATCTATTTTGCAAACTAACACTACTATACAGTTGTGTAGCATTTTGTAGTTTACAAAGGGCATTAGTAATAAATGTGCTGATTAAGAGCTCAGCTCTAGAGTTACCATGAGAGGTTCTAATCCCAGTTCTGTTACTTACTAGCTTTGAAATTTTAGGCAATTTTTTTCAGTTTCTTTCATTTGCAAAATTATTACTTCCAGGATAGAGTTGGTGTGCAAATAAAATGAGATAATACACGCAAAGCACTTAGTACACTGCCCAAGACATGGTAAGATCTTGATAAATTTAAGTTACTGTACATTTTCTAAATTGATCAAGATTCATCAGAAAGAGGTAGGTCATGAAAAAAGAAGTGGTAGGTCAGGTATTATTCCCATTTTATAGGTCAGGAAACAGTTTCAGAGACATTAAGTATTTGGCCAAAGTCAAATGATTAAATTACAGAGTCAGAACTCTGACCTAGTCCAGACTTTCCTTCCATATTAGCTTTCTCAGAAAAGATTAAAAAAGAAAAATGAAACCAATACTTAAAAACAAATGAGGTAGGCAGCACTTTTAAGTATTTTTACCCACACTGAAAAAAACAAACAAAAGACGAATAATTTCATATTCAACCAAAATTCTCCATTTAGCTTAGGATAAATGAATAGTGATGTCGAGGTTTAACAATAACTTTATTTGTTTTAAAAACACGTAAGGTCCTAAGTCAAGGATCTCAGTTATCGTTGATGAAAAACACTCTGATTCCATGAGGGCAGAGATAAGGTTTGTAGGAATTCCCTCCTTCTTCTTGAAAAAAAATTGGAGGATTTTTCTTTGGTCTCTAGAGGTCACGTAAAATAATCATAGCATTGTAGTTAAACTGTCCTTATGACATTTTACTTGAAAGCAAGGGGATAAAAACTTTAGAGAAAAATATAGTAAGTGAACCTTAACACATACATTTAGATATATGGAGCCAATAAAAAGGAGTGAACAGAATTAAATAATTTTTTTTATTTTTCACATAAGGAAACAAGGTAAATTCTGATTTGACCTGGGTAAATTGGTCTCTAAATCACTCAAGAACTATTCGTTAGGGGGGCGAGGGCATGAGTGGGGGGGATGGGGGGTCATGTGGGGATAAGAACACATATGTAATAACTTAATCAATGAAAAATTAAAAAACAAACAAAAAAACAACAACAACAAAAAGAATTATTCGTTATGGGCATACTTTATAGGCTCTATTAATGGAGATTTAAATTAGATACCAATCATTTTATTAAGAAAATTAGATTCTAGAGGGGAGATAAATTTAAATAAATAATTATAATTTTTACACAGAAAGTGACAAGTGTAAATAAAGATATTAATAAATTCGTATGTTTAGAGTTAAGAGATTATTTCCAGAGTCACAAATGACAGAAGATTGAATAGCATTTATTTATTTATTCTTTCTTTTTACCCTTACCCAAGGACATGGTTTTTTGTTTTTTAAAAATTGATTTTGGAATGAGAGAGAGAGAGCGAGAGAGAAAATCTATGTGAGAAATGTTGATCCAGGGATGGAATCCAAACTAGGTATGTGCCTGACCGGGAAATTGAACCTGAAACCTTCTGGTGTGTGGGATGATGCTCCAACCAACTGAGCCACCTGGCCAGGGCAGATTGAATAGTATTTAGATGAGCAGAGATAGTAAAGAGTAGCATAAGTGGAAATGAAAAACAATGCCAGGGAGATATAAGAAATGCAGTGCTTCAGTTTTCTGTCCAAATATGTGAAAATGAAATGACTTCAGAGGCAGGTGAATTATTTAAAATGTCGTACTGAGTTTTAATGTTATTCTTTGTCAAAGAGAAGTCTAAAAGTTTTGGAATGGGGTTAGTCACAAGAGGAACTGGCACTCTTTCACAACAGCACAGCTCCTCAAAGAAAAGTGACAGCAGAAGCCCCTGAGACTGCTAAAGGCCCAAAGACCTGAGAGTCCCAAATGAGAGGAGACAGAGAAGAAGTCAATATGATAAAAAGGAACATGGAAGGCAAGAATGGAGAGGTCAGAAATAAGTCATTGTGCCCTAGCCAGTTTGGCTCACTGGTTAGAGCTTTGGCCTACGGACTGAAGGGTTCAATTCCCGGGCAAGGGCACGTACCTCGGTTGCAGGCTCGATCCCCGGCTCCAGTTGGGGCGCATGGGAAAGGCAACCAATCGATGTTGTCTCTCTCACATCCATGTTTCTCTCTGTCTCTCTGCTCCCTTTCAACTCTCTCTAAAAAAATGGAAAAAATATCCTTGGGTGAGGATTAACAACAACAACACAAAATTTAACCCTTTGCACTCCGAACCATTCTGGACATTGGCTACCAGCTACTCGATGCTACTTTGCGGTGGAAACGTGCATTTACAGACCCTCGTATTATTTAGTATAATTTTGGAACCAAGTAACGTATTATAATGATATTGGACTTATATGAATTGGGTGACATCGAGGAATGTATATTTGCAAAAAAACCAATATTTTATTGTTTATAATTTTGTACAGTATGATAAGTTTTGTAACACTCCCCAATATGCACTGCAGGCTGATTAGTGCATGTTTGACAGTAATAAGTGGGTTGACGCCTGCCACCAGGTGTTTTCCTGTTAGAACACACAATGCAGTCCCGTTTTCTTTGTCCCACATCGGGAATATGTAGTTTATTGTTTAATCCGACACAAAACCTGCTGACATTTCTTGTATATATCTTAGTAATTTTACGATATTTTGATTTAATTTCTTGTGCCATTTCAAGATAAAACTTCAGGGAAACATGCATGTCTCAAAAAGTTGCGTTGAAATAACTCAATTCCCCGTAATCACTAATAAACTGCAATGTCCCCTGAGAGGGGACATCCGAGTGATATGCTAGAATTCCGATGTCCCCTGAGAGGGGACAGCGGAGTGCAAAGGGTTAAAATAAAAAGCCTGGCTGGCATGGCTCAGTGGTTGAGTGTTGATCTATGAACCAGGAGGTCACAATTCGATTCCTGGTCAGGGCACATGCCCAGGTTGTGGACTCGATCCCCAGTGTGGGGTGTGGAAGACATTGTGGATGTTTCTATCTCTCTCTCCCTCTCCCTTTCTCTCTGAAATTAAAAAAAAAAATATTTTTAAAAAGTAGTCAACTGTATCTAATGCTGCACAAATTCTGAGAAAAATAATGGCTGAGACGAGACCATTAGAACTGATAAGCACAAAGATACTGGAGATCTTCCAGAAACCAGTTTCAGCAGAGCATTAAAATTTCTAGGAAGGAGAAAGAATGGAAGCCTTGGAAGCCTGAGAGAATAAGTTAGGTAAATTAAAAAACTGAAGATGTTTTTGTTTGTTTCAAATTTACTCATTCATTCATTATTTTTTTTACAGAGAGAGTGGAAGGGAGGGGGAGAGACAGAGTGAGAGAAACATCGATGTGAGAAAGACCCATTGATTGGTTGCTTCCTGTATGTGCCCTGACCAGGGCTGGGGATTGAGCCCTGGTACATGCCCTTGACCGGAATGGAACCCAGGACCCTTCAGTACGCAGGCTGATGCTCTATTTACTGAGCAAAACTGGCTAGGGCTATTATTATTTTTAATCCTCACCCAGGATTTTTTTCAATTGATTTTTTTTTAGAGAGAGTGGAGGAGAGGAGACAAACATCGATGTGAAAGAGATACATCGATTGGCTGCCTCCTGAATTCACCCCAACCAGAGCTGGGAGGGTTGAACCTACAATCGAGTATGTGCCCTTGACTGGGAATCTAACTGTAACCCTTCCGTCCGTGGGCCTATGCTCTAACCACTGAGCAACGAGCCAGGGCTTGTTTCTTACAAATTTATCTTTTTTTAAAAAATATTTTTTTTATTGATTTCAGAGAGGAAAGAAGTGAGAGAGAGAGAGAGAGAGAGAGAGAGAGAGAGAGAGAGAGAGAATCAATGATGAGAGAGAATCATTGATTGGCTGCCGTCTGTATGCCCCACACTGGGGATCGAGCCCACAACTGGGGCATGTGCCCTGACTGGGAATCGAACTGTGACCTCCTGGTTTATAGGTTGACATTCAACCACTGAGCCATGCCGGCTGGGTGTTTCTTACAAATTTAAACAGAAGATTGGTGAGCACTTACAAATTGAGGGAAAAAATCTGGGGTAGAGGGAAAATGGTGGAGATGGAGGCCAAACTTTGAAAAGTAAGGAAGTGGAAATGAGGAGTTAAGCCACTCTTTTAAGGAACTCGAATGAGAAATAAGAATCTTATTTAATACTATTATCTCTATCCTAAAAAGGTAAAAATTGAAACATAATGAGATTAAAAAATTATCCATGGTAATAAAGCTAGGAAGTAGCAAAGTTGGGAATTAAACGTAGTTGCCACTACAGTCAATGATGCTCCTGCTATACCACCTAAGCTAGTCTATTAGGACAGTGGTCGGCAAACTGCGGCTCGCGAGTCACATGCGGCTCTTTGGCCCCTTGAGTGTGGCTCTTCCACAAATACCACGTGCGGGCGCGCACATACAGTGCGATTGAAACTTCGTGGCCCATGCGCAGAAGTTGGTATTTTGTGGAAGAGCCACACTCAAGGGGCCAAAGAGCTGCATGTGGCTCGCGAGCTGCAGTTTGCCGACCACTGCATTAGGATGTCTACAAGAATGAATTAGTGAATTTATGATGACTAACAAATTCAGGAATCTTCATCAAAATATTGAGAAGAAACATTTTTAAAGGCTCAGCGATTAAGTACACGTCATACTGAGGCAACATGGGTTAGAACATTAGCTGAATAATTTAAAACTGAAATACAAAATTTTAAAACAAAACGGTTTCAAAGCCAAACTAATGACAAGACTTACTTCAGTATTTCTTCTCTGCACTGCCTCTGTGTGGCAAAACAAGCTATAGCCCACATTTTGATTTCAACTCCTGTGTGGAACTGTTTCCCTCGCATGTCCCATACTCCATGGCTTGGTGTTGCTACTGTTCGATTCTACAGAAAAAGGAGAAATAGAAATACAGCAGAAAAGAACAAACACTTAATATAGTTTATTTCAATAGCTGATATATATATCTAATATTCTACATGGAGTAGGTTATTCTAAATCAATATTATTTATACTTTATCATAGAAAAACAAAAACTCTACTAAACCCAAGCGAAGACACCTTGAAACAAAAAAATGTTGAAACAATAAAACATTTTCAAATTCAAGACTTAGAAATCTCCATACATAGAAACTGTTATGTTTGTAATTAAAAACTACCAAGAGGTTTACCCGTCCTCCATACTGGAGCATAGGTGCTGGAAGTACGCGTCCAGTTACATGGGCCATTTCATCCCGAACTTTAAATTGAAACTCCTGAACAAATGGATCTGTTTCATAATTTGCACTTCTTACCTAAGAGCAGAAAGTTAGTAGTTACTTAAAAAAGAAAAATTCCTCCAAATCTCCTGCTTTACGTATTAGAATTCTCTATTTTTTTTCCTTTCACTGTGTCAACATGTTTTACAATAGGTTTCGTTAATGGTACCCTAAGCTATATATAGAGCAGAGAATCTTAACCAGGGGTTCACAGATCATAAATGATTGCAGGAAGTCTGTGAACCTACTGGTAATTTATAGAAAATTTAAATGTATTAGGTTGAATAATAAGAAATTTCAACTATTTATGGCACACGAAAATGGTAATTTTATATGATTAAACATAATATATTTTGGAGAGGGTGGTCTAGAGATTGCAAGAGAGAGAAATACCTAGCCTAAAATATACTATTAAAACTATGTTGAATAACAAATATTGATATGTAGAATAGCAAATATTGATAACTATTTTTCCTCTAATTACTATGGCTTTCTCCCAATTATTTGATTTATAATATATATAAAATTTACTTCAAGCCCAGCTGGTGTGGCTCCATGGTTGACCGTGGGCCCATGAACTAGGAGGTCACGGTTTGATTCCTGGTCAGGGCGCATGCCTGGGTTTCCAGCCCGATCCCCAGTAGGGGGTGTGCAGAAGGCAGCCAATTAATGTTTCGCTCTCATTGATGTTTCTATCTCTCTACCCCTCTCTTTCTCTCTCTAAAATCAATAAAAAATGTATTTAAAAATTTTACTTCAATATTTTCAGATAAAAAGTACCATGTTGCAAAATTTACTTAATGGGATACACTTGAGACAGATAAGAAAGCCAGTATGAAATACAGATTATAATTTTAATATATATTCATACATATAAAGAATCTGTCGTAATTCAGTGTAGACTTGGATCTCAGAGTGCAATTCATGTTTATAGCATGCTATATACACACATACATATACACACACATATATACATACATATGTGTGTATATATATATGTATATATACATATATATACACATATGTATGTATATATATGTGTACACACACACACACACACACACACACACACACACACACACACACACACTAGAGGCCCGGTGCACCCTCTCACAATCCGGGATCCCTTGGGGGATGTCCAACTGCAGCTTTAGGCCCGATCCCAAAGGGATCCCTGTGGGATCGGGCCTAAAGTGGCAGTCGGACATTCCTCTCGTAATTCGGGACCACTGGCTCCTAACCACTCGCCTGCCTGCCTGCCTGATCGCCCCTAACCACTCACCTGCCTGCCTGATCGCCCCTAACCACCGCTGCCTGCCTGCCTCATCACCCCTAACCACCGCTGCCTGCCTGCCTCATCACCCCTAACCACTTGCCTGCCTGTCTGATCACCCTAACTGCCTCTGCCTGCCTGATTGCCCCTAACCACTCTGTGTGCCTGCCTGCCTGATTGCCCCTAACTGCCTCTGCCTCAGCCCCCGTGGGTTCATCCGGAAGGACGTCTGGAATGACATCCAGAATGACAGCTGGAAGGTCATTTGGCTGTCCAGTCTAATTAGCATATTACGCTTTTAATATATATATATATATATATTTATATTTTAACTGTTTTTCAAAACATTTACTTCGTCTCAGGGTAAAGATCAAACAAGGCCATTGTTCAAGCTTTTGAGTAACAATCCATTAAAAGTAACCTATATAATCTAAATATGTAAAAAGAATCTCCTCAATGATTCTCTCATCAATGATGTTTCTATCTCTCGCCCTCTCTCTCTCTCTGTAACCAATAAAAAAATATTTTTTAAAAAAGATTGCTTTTGAAATGCTTTTAAGTTATTTTAGGTAATATTCATATTTCCAGACTTTTTCTCTTCACTTGGACAATTTAAATGATGCTAAAGAAGAACATAAGATAGCCTGGCTAGGTAGCTCAGTTGGTTAGAGCATCGTCCCAATACAACAAAGTTGCGAGTTTGATCCCTCTCAGAACACATATAAGAATCAACCAATTGTTGAACACATAAATGAGTGGAACACATCTAATTAAAAAAAAAATGAAGTGCTTTATTTAAAGAAAAAAGAAGAACATAAGATCCAGGTGCCTTTTATTTTTCATTTTTCCTTATTACATCAGTTTTATAAAGTGGTATTGATAACTCTTCCTTCCTCCCTATTTAGAACAATGGGAGAGCTTAGAAACCCTACGTGGTGAGAGCCATCTGATATTTCTTGAAAAAAAATTTTTTATTTATTAAATTGACTGGGGTGATATTGGTCAACATGAACGTATAGGTTTCAGATGTGGGTTTCTATAAGATCTGTATATTGTACCGTGTGACCACCACCCAAAGTCAAATCTTCTTTTGTCACCTTATATTAGAACCCTCTTCTCTCCCCACCCGTCTTCCCTGTCAATCACCACACTGCTGTTTGTGTTCACGAGTTTCAGTTTTATATCCCACATATGAGTGAAATCATATAGTTCTTAGCTTTTTCTGACTTATTTCACTTAGCATAATGTTCTCAAGGTCTATCTATGTTGTTGCAAATGGTGCTATTTCATCCTTTCTTATGACTAAGTAGTGTTCCATTGTGTATATGTACATCTTTATCCAGTCCTCTATCACAGGAAATTTTAGTATTTCTTTGTTCATTCTGTAGTTGTCAGTCTGATACTGGGGGGTTAAGCAATCCTACGATGAGTGTTAAACCTCTCACTACCGCTAATCATGATACCTTTACTTTTCTTCCTTTCCCCCTCCTCGTTTAGGTGGGAGGCAATAAAGTTCCAGTTCACTAAATTGAAACATTAGTTCTGAATCTGTTCTGTATCTAATTAAAGAGTTTGGGATTAAATTAAAAGGGTCTAACCTTTCTCATAGAACCTACTAAGGTTTACCCCCAGAACACCACTATATTACTTCCATGATCCCTTATAATTCTCATAGTTCATAAAATGGTAATTAGGTATAAGCTGATAAGGAGATGGTTCTTTAGTAGCTCACTCTAATATATTTTTAATTCCCATTTCTAAGGTTAAGTACTAACCAATCTGCTAATTTCGTCTTGTCTATCTGGTGCAGATCTTGCTGTTGCTTTGATCATAGTGGAAGTCTGATTGTCCGTTAGCTTCTTGATACATCGTTGCCCTGCCACAATATTACAGACCTATAAATAAAAAAAAGTTTTGTACTAGATGTATATATCCTTTTTTAAATCTCAGTGCCAATTACATATGAAATTATATTTTTAATATACTTCATCAAACTATTACTTTTTAATATCATATTAAGTAAAATAGTAAACAATACTGCTTTACAGTATGATAAGAGGTAAAATTTATAAACTTGAATAAAAAGGCTGAAAAGAAGTGTACCAAAATGCTAACAGTGGTCACATTTAGAGTGGTAGGATTGTGGATAAATTTTTTCCATATTATTTTATTATCAAAAATTTAGAATAAAATAAATGTGAGCATATAAAGTTATAGGCCATAAAAGACCACAACAGAATGATGAATAAGAAGATATTAATAAGCAGCCTAAACACATTACTTCTAGTGGCAGATATGTATGTTTTTGCTCTTGCCCCACTTGCAGACAGGGAAGGTGTGGGTACTTCAGCTGAAGAGTATACTTTTCTCTGAAATACTGTGCTACTGTTCTCTCCACAGTTTGGCCATTTTCTAACTGCAAAGGAAAGCTGAAAAAAAAAAAAAGTACACATTAACAACTCTTATCTCATTATGAGCCAGCAACACTCCCAATCCTTTAACTAGAGCAAGCTGCCTCACATCATCTCTGCTGACAAACACCAGCTTTTCTTACGTTTGATGACTGGCAGGCCTTCTTGTTACATTACAAACACGGTATTTCCGTCTCATTGTTCCACAATGAGTCACTTCAACCTTCAGACCTGTTCCCAACAAGAAAAACAAGGTTACAGACTGTCAAATGTAAAATATTTATAGCTACCAAATCTGTTCACTACTATAAAAACTCAAATAAATTCTAAACAGAAAATTTGTGATAAAAGCAATGTGATATTAACAAAGGATTTTATATAAAACATTGCAAATAATGGTTACAATTACAATAGACTTAACTCCAAACATCTTCTCTATCATGTCAAGCTCTACACATTAAAAAAATAATATCATAAAATCTACAAAGCTTGTAGATCATGGGACAAAGTTCTCCATTAATAAAAACCTTGTTCACTTACTGAGTGAAGATCAGAATTTGGTAAAGCTCAAGAATGAAGACCTTCAGAGCTTTTTAAAGCAGGAAGGAAAAAAAAATCCTGGCCCTTTTAACGTTAAGTGGAGTGACAATTTTGATGAAGTATAATATAGTGACACAGCTTTCAATACTATTAGAATTCAAATGCAACCAAAAGAATCCTAGATCAGGTGATCCCTACTTTCTTATGGAATCACTGACTTCTTTGAGAATCCGATGAAAGCAATAAACTCGGGAAAAGGCACATAATTGAACATGTGATTTTTTATGTTCCTGGATTCTTGTAGCCCATTTGTGGACTCTAGGGGTTTGAGGATATACACCTGCTTTAGAAAGGGAAAGAAGAACTTTTAAATCATTGGCTAAAATTCTTTGGGATACATTTTCTTAAGCAGTGCTGTCCAACAGTTTTCTGAAATGATGGAATATTTGATATCTGTGCTAATATGGTAATCACTATCAATGTGTTACTGAGTACATCAAGTGTATAGCTACTTTGACTGAGAAACTGAAAATTTAATTTTAACAAGTTTAAATTCAAATAGCTATGTTTGCTAATGGCTACTGTATTGGCCAATGGTTTTAAAGCTATCTAGAGGAGTTAAACACATACAGTGGTTACTGCTCACAGATAAGCAACTCCACTTCTATGGCCTACACTCCAAAGGTGGAAATCTAAAAATGGGTAGATGGAGGGAAACTTTTAGTTCCCTGGTAGTACTCATAGTTACTTTTGTATTATTTCCCTTTTATATCTGTGATTCCTATAGTGCAGTGGTTCTTAACCAGAGGTAATTTTGCCCTCCAGGAAACATTTGGAAATGTTCGGAGACTTAACAAAAAATTATTTTTTAATTACAGTTTATGTTCAATATTATTTTGTTTTAGTTTCAGCTGTACAGCATAGTGTTTAGACAATTACATACTTTACAAAATGATCCCCCGATATTTCAAGTACCCAACTGGCACCATACATAGTTATTACAGTATTATTAATTATATTTCCTATGCTGTATTTTACAGACATTTTTTACTGTCACAACTGCGGGGTGCTATGGCATCTAGTGGATGCTAGATTTAGGGACATTTAGATCCAGGGATGCTTCTAAATATCCTACAATGCACAAGGCAGCACTAACTCCCACCCTCTGCCACGATGAAGAATCATCCCATCCAAACATCAACAGGGCCAAAGTTGAGAAACCCTGCTATACTAAACTTATTTTCCTATCTAATTACTAATTATAGAACCAAACATAAAGTTCACTCATAGTAGTGTTTTCTTCTGATATATCACCAAAAATTAAGATGTTAAATGAACACAGTGTCACTGTACCAGATTGGTATGGGTTTTTGAGTACCTAATTAAATCAGTGAGAAATAGTTTTTTAATAATTACCTTTATAAAACTAAAATTTCAGATCAATTAGAGCATTTACAATGCCTCTATATTATTAAGGAGAGTAGAAAATAAAATATTATCAAGGGAATGCCTTAAAAAAAGGAGATATCAATAATTTAAAGTATGTAAGATGTAGAAAGTTATGTTCAGGGGAAAAATACAATAGAAAATTTAAAACCAATTTCTGTTATCTTACATCACTTAGCAATTTGTTTACAAGTCTTCCCCTTGAATTAAAAAACTTATTAATAAGGTTCTACAAGCCTAATATGTAAGTTTGGACAAAAAATAAATTGGTACTCTTACATATATATGGTACTTTTACCATACACTTCCCCCAATATTTTGCTGTTTAACTATGAATTATTGCACGAAGAAACCACCTTAATATTTAGGAAAAAGTTCAAATGGAACCAAAGGAATATACTAAGGAAATTTATTCATTATATCATACTTTGTATCACTATTTAGGTTTTCATCAAATTCCTCTTGCCAGCTAAAAATTAAACCGAAATATATAGCACAAAACACATAACTTTGATTTTTAAAAAAAATTTAAAAAGTATTTTTACTGATTTCAGAGAGGAAGGGAGAGGGAGATAGAAACATCAATGATGAGAGAGAATCATTGATCGGCTGCCTCCTGCACACCCCTACTGGGGATTGGGCCCGCAACCCAGGCATGTGCCCTTGAGCGGAATCGAACCCAGGAGCCTTCAGTCCTCAGGCCAACGCTCTATCCACTAAGCCAAACCAGCCAGGGCATAACTTTGATTTTTTTGAGTTACTGTGGTAGTAATACTCGATGTACTTTGAAGAGCCATCTTTAAAAAAACAAGTCTTCTTGATTTTGGAGAAAAAAATCATTAGCTTGTTAATTAGATTCAATTCAGATTTTTCTACCTCAAATCTAGGGTTATAGGTTCCTATGGATTAGACCCAAACCCAGGGTTAGGAGAAAGTTGAAATTTTAAAAAAAATGGATTACGTAATTCTCTGCCCAGGTCCCCCCCACCCAAAACCCTCCATCCAACAACAACAAAAAAAATTGGCTTTAATAAGTCAAATATTTAACCTATAAACTTGGCTTTACCTTCACTATAACATCAACTTTATAATGCTTTCTAGTCATTTTTTCAGTCATTTCTTTAGGCCCCTGAGCAGTTGAAGTTAAGATCGAGTCCATGCTCTTCGGGCAGCAGTTGAATCCTTGTTCTGTACATCTTGTATTTTCTGTGATAAAGTGGTGATATGAGTTGATAGCATAGTTACCGCAAAATAATCTAAGTGACTTCATTATATCAGAGGTGGTAACTAAGCAGCAACTCCACGGGAAACCATGGCATTTAGATGATCACTTATTAATGGCGGGTAATGCACTATCTCCCAACAATGCTAACTGTGCAGTTAATACAGATTATGAAAGGATAATGGTATGATTGCAGTAGAGTACATTTTCTTATTTTGGTACTTCAATTACTTGAGATAAATGGATGCATATTTTCAAAGCAGGAAAGATTTTCCTTGTAATGCTTTATTACAACGATTACCTCTTTCCTGGTTACTAAATGGCAAAGAATGATTGACTACTAGAGCAAGCAGATGCACTCAGCTCCTACTCTTAATCAAAACTGCTCTTGAAAATTCCCTTAAATTGCTGAAAAAAATTAGTGTATGTAGGTCTGCATATAAAACTGTATATGCATTTTTAAATGTATACAGGAATGTACATACATATAAAAAGTTAAATATATACAAAATATATACTTTAGAACAATATTAAAATTATTTTTTGGGGAAGACCATGTAGAGATGAATTAAATTAGTAAAACATACATATGATGCAAGACCACTATACAAATTTTAGTTACTAATTAAAAGAAGCAAGATCAATGATCAACTGTATAATGTACATAAAATAACTAAGTTCCAACTCTAGAACACATGAAACAGACTAGCCCCTTATCCATAAGTTTTCTAAGGAATAAAATATTCTGCTATCATTTCAGAAAAATAAGAAAGTCATTGTATTAGAATTTGTTCAAAGAATGATTCCAATTCTGAAGTACCAATGTTTTTGAAATAACCTTTCTATTTTTAACAGTATCATAGAAGCATTTCCCTATGAGACACTCTTATACCTTCAGCTAATAAAGGAAAGTATTAACAAAAAATTAGCTGGTATTGCTATTAATCCCACTACTTGGTACTTCTGTCACTGAAACACTAAGCTGTTATTGTAATGAATATTTTATAACTGATCTTTATTTTACTGGTAATGTTACATGAATAAATTATAATTAAAAAAATTTTCAATAAGTCTGTCATACTCATGAATTTTATAGTTAAGTTGTTTCAAATGCTAATTAATTCACCTTTTATCTCTTTGGTGAATTTTACCCGATGAGAATCAGTCAGAGGTCTTGGTTGCTCATCAATATTATGAATGTCAAGAACTTCACACATGAACTGAATTACAGGTTGTGCTTTGTAGAAGGCAGTGGCAGAAACTAGGAAGAAAAACACAAATAGTACAAATTAATGCTTCCTTTAAAAAATTCAGAAACAATCTCAGCTCCATGATAATGAACTAATTATAGAATTAAAATAATCCTTTATGTATACTTATATACTTAGAAAAATATTTCCAAAATTAAGCAGTTTCAATTTGACCTCTGACTAAAAGACAAGCACAAGAACAAAAAAGCTAAAAACTACAGTTTTTATAATCTCTCTCTTTCACCATGGTAACTGAATCATTCCATTCTCTACTACATGTACAGAGAAGTGTTCTGGGTGTGAGACAAGACCTGTAAAGGGACAAAGAAGCCCTGAGACCCTTAGCAAATGAGAAAGTTATGTATTATTTCTTAAAGCTTTCAATGCCACTCTAGACTGTTTTATCTATTCTAGTGAGAGCTTTCCCTGTTTTGTACAGATTTGAGTAGACAGCTGTGTTAAATGTTATTAGTGCTAATGAAAGCTATAGATAGTAAAAATAGTAAGGGGTATCTGCCCAATGTTATCTAGCTACAGTTGCAGTTTTCTAACAGTCAACAAGCATGATTTCTTAATCTTTGCTTTTGGTACTGGAAGAACTTCACCAATGGTTAGTATATCACCTTCACACATTTCTTAAACGCATACTTACTGACTGCTATTATGTGCTACACTAGAAATTAAAAAACATGCCCACTGTCTACCGGTGAGGGTGGAAGGGGTGAAAGGGGGACATATGTAATACCTTGAACAATAAAGATAAATTAAAAAAATATATTTTATTGATTTTTTACAGAGAGGAAGGGAGAAGGATAGAGAGTTAGAAACATCGATGAGAGAGAAACATCGATCAGCTGCCTCCTGCACACTCCCCACTGGGGATGTGCCTGCAACCAAGGTACATACCCTTGACCGGAATCGAACCTGGGACCCTTGAGTCCGCAGGCTGATGCTCTATCCACTGAGCCAAACCGGTTAGGGCAAGATAAATTCTTTTAAAAAGAAAGATATGCACTCCTATGTTCACATAGCATTATTTACAATAACTAAGATCTGGAAACAGCCCAAATGCCCAGCAGTAGATGAGCAGATATAAAAATTGTGGTACATTACACAATGGAATACTATGTGGCTGTAATAAAGAAGGCTCTCTTACCCTTTGTGACAGCATGGATGGACCTGGAGATTATTATGCTAAGTGTAATAAGCTAGTCAAAGAAAGACAAATATCACATTATCTCACTTATATGTCGAATCTAATGAACAAAATAAACTGATGAACAAAATAGGTCCCGAGACATGGATGCATGGAACAGACTGACAGATCTCAGAGGGAAAGGGGAGGAGGGGTTGGGAGGGCAGGAAGAGATTAATCAAATAACTTATATGCATAGCCCATAAACACAGACAATAGTGCAGTGAAGGTCTGGGGTAGGTTAGGGGCAGGATGGAGGAGGGCAAAGGGCGGGAAATGGAGGACATCTGTAATATGCCAATAATAAAAATACATTTAAAAAAAGTTCTACCAAAAATTGATGGCAAATTTCAAATTCAACTTCAGTTAATAGGAAGTCCTACCTAGCACAGTAATTTAAGTTAAAAAACAAAAAAGGTAAAGAGAATGAAAAGGGAGAAACAAAATTATTATTCTCTACAACATGACTGTCTACCCAGAAAACCCAATATTCTATAGATAAATTACAGAATTAATAAGAGTTCAGCAAGGTTGCTAGATTTAAAATCAACATATGAAAATAAATTATATTCTTATATATTACTAACCAACTTAAAATGTAATAAAAAACACTTAAAATCACAACATAAAATATAAGGTACTTGAAATGAAATCCGAACAAAAGATGTATAAGACCTATTGAGGGAATAGATATCTTTACTATTGAAAGGTATTACAGAAGATGTAAATACATGAAGTAATATACCCAATTCATGTAAATTATCCCCAAATTAATCTGCAAATTCAAAGCAATTTCAATCAATATACCAACAGGATACAACCTTTACTCCCTTGAGAAGCTGAGATGGAAATTAATACAAAAAATCAGTAAAACATGAATATCCTAAACAATTTTTAAGAATAAGGTCAGTGCCCGGCCAGCATGGCTCAGTGGTTGAGTGTTAACCTATGTACCAGGAAGTCATAGTTTGATTCCAGTCAGGGCAAATGCCCAGGTTGTGAGCTTGATCCCCAGTGTGAGGTGTGCATGAGACAGCTGATCAATGATTCTCTCTCATCATTGATGTTTCCATCTCTCTCTCCCTCTCCCTTCCTCTCTGAAATCAATAAAAATATATTAAAAAAATTAAAGAATAAGGTCAGTCCTATCAATCATCATGACTTTAATAATCCTATTCAAGTCAAGAGACTGTGGGGACAGACACACAGACCAGCAGAATGGACTTGAAAACCTACCTCATACTCTACACAAAAACAAATTCCTATTCAGAGAACTAAATATGAAAAGAAAAATAAAGTTTAAAGTAAAATATAGAGTATGTTGATCTTGGAGGTAAGAATTTCCTAAACAAGATACAAAACTACAAACCATTAAAACTATAAAAAACAGCCCTGGTCGGTTTGGCTCAGTGGATGGAGCGTTGGCCTGCGGACTGAAAGGTCCCAGGTTCGATTCCGGTCGAGGGCATGTACCTTGGTTGCGGGCGCATCCCCAGTAGGAGGTGTGCAGGAGGCAGCTGATGGATGTTTCTCTCTCATCGATGTTTCTAACTCTCTATCCCTCTCCCTTCCTCTCTGTAAAAAATCAATAAAATATATTAAAAAAATAAATAAATAAAACTATAAAAAACAAAGATAAGATTTAGAAAAGCGGAAAAAAACCCTAACAACCAGGTTATAGATTGGTAGAGGATATGTGTAGTAAACATAACAAATGATTAGTATCTAAGTTCTTATAAATTAAGATAAAACAATAAAAGTGGTAGGCATTTCATAGAAAAGCTAAATGTCAAAAACACTGAGCTATCATTTTTACACCAATCAAGATGGGCAAAAAATATCAAGATTAGTAACACACACTGACAATCCAATGGAAGCTCTCATAGATTATAGGAATATAATCTGATACAATCAGTCAGGAGAACAAATGATAACAGATAGTAAATTTGAAGATGCGCATAATTACCAACTCAGCAATTCCACTATACTGGAATGTATACTAGAGAAATTCCTTATCTGCAAAAGGAGATATGAATAAGAATGCTTACTGTAGCATTGTTTCTATTTTTATTTTTTAAAAATATATTTTTATTGATTTCAGGGAGGAAGGGAGAGGGAGAGAAACATCAATGATGAAAGAGAATCATTGATCGGCTGCCTCCTGCATGCCCCACACTGGGATCAAGCCTTCAACCTGGGCATGTGCCCTGACCAGGAATCGAACCATGACCTCCTGGTTCACAGGTTGATGCTCAACCACCGAGTAACACTGGCCGAACTGTAGCATTGTTTTTAATAGAAAGAATGGAAACAACCTAAATATCCATCAATTGAATGGATAACTGTGTAGTATATTCATTCAATTAAAATTAATGGGCAAGTACTAGATTTCAGATAAAAAATTGAGAAATAAAATACAGATATTACTTGAGAGGAGTTTGGTGGAAATGAGTTATTATCAACAGTCAAATTGCTAGAATCTAGATATGTATAAATACAACTAAGGACTTTTTTTTTTTTTTTTACAAAAATTGACTAGAAATCTAGAATACCAGTGAGATAGTCTTTCAATTTATGAGCAAGCCTATTTCTGAATTTATTAAGGTCATTTAAATTTCATTAAGGTTTTATAATATACCCTTATAACTCCTATGTATCTTTCAATAGACTTAAAATTTTTGTTGCTGTTGCAAATTTATCCTTTAATTCTTTGTCACTTACTAACTGCTGCATGTTTGTTTTTCAACTATGTTTATTTTTTTTTAATTCATTGGTAGCAGTGTTAGGATTATTTAAAAAAAGGACAGGCTTGGAAATAAAACAGATTTTAATCCTAGGTCCAGCATTCACTAATTTCTATCCGTTTATCTGTAAAATTAGAAAAATACCTACTATTCAGAGCATTAGGGTGGAGATTCAATGTAAGGTTCATGTGCCCAGAACATGATAGCTCAACAGAGCTCCTTTTCTCATTTTTGAAGAATTGTCTACTCATGTCTTTTGATCTACTGAAGTCTTAATTCTAGGCAAAATCATTTTGTCAATGTAAACACATTAAAGGTGTTACATGAGAGAATGTTCCACAAAAAAGAGGTTAGGATTTTTAAGTTTGCTTTTTTGTGTGTCAAAATTAAAAATTTATGTTAGGACACAGCTGAAATAACAAATGTGGGGGAAAAAAAGAAAATAAGAAATATCTGCCATATTTAAAAATAACTAGGTATACATGTATCAAAATAAGTCAAGGTTCAAATGAATAGTATAAAACAAAGCAGTAATTAATGTTGGATCATGACAAAAACATAACCACAATATATGAACTATTTCAGCCCTGACTGGTTTGGCTCAGTGGATAGAGCATCGACCTGCGGACTGAAGGGTCCCGGATTCGATTCCAGTCAAGGGCATGTACCTTGGTTGCAGGCACATCCCCAGTAGGGGGTGTGCAGGAGGCAGCTGATCAATGTTTCTCTCTCATCGATGTCAGTATCAGAGGTATACCAGCCTTATAAAATTGAGTTGACAATAAAGTATTATTTAAAAAATAAATAAAATAGAGTTAAAAACCTTTCCTTACTTTTCTGAATGAATTGGTGCAAGATTGGTATTATTTTTTCTTAAATGTTAGATAAAGTTCTAACATTTAAGAAAAACAAATAATTTGGGACTGGGTTTTGTTAGAAAGAATGATGAATTTCAATTTCTTTAATAGATACAAGGCTATTCAGATTTCCCTTTGAGTCAATTTTTATAAAGTTGTGTTTAAGTTATAAAATTAATTGGTATAAACTTGTTCATAACATTTTATTAACCTTT